ATAAAAATATGATGCAAAAATCTTCAACAAAATCGTAGCTAATAGACTTCAATTGTTGTTGTTGTTGTTTGCCATCGAGTCGGCCCCGACTCATAGCGACCCCTCCTTGGGTTTCCGAGGTAGTATCACTATGGAAGTAGGAATGCCCAACCTTCCTTCTCAATGGCTGGTGGGTTTGAACCGCCAGCCTTCTGGTTAGCAGTCAAGTGCCTTAGGCACTATGCTACCAGAGCTCCTTCTTTTCATGCTAGAGAGGATGTTTCCATGTTTATGCAAAGAGAAGAAGCACTAACTGCTGGTGAGGATACAGGGATACAGAAAGGAGGAGGGGGAGGGACCCAGTATCTAAGGAGAGCTCAGAAAGGAAGGACACCTTTTGCTCAGAAACTAAAAGTGGGGTGGGTGTTATAAGGACAGGCTAAGCTATAAATATATGTCGAGAAAGAAGGGCAACAGGTTGCCAAATTCTTTTTAAATGATAAAATAAACCCACTTATTAGTATAGCACCTGAAAAATCTATTGTAAATACTCCAAACACAGGAATAACGATACTATGTGGCTCACAGAGAAAAAAAATGCAATGCAAATCAACTGCTTATTTAACAATAATAATAATAATAAAAATCCAGTGGTGTCACTAGGGGGACACAGGGAGTGCAGACCACACTGGATGACACCGCCAGAGGACATGACACCAAAATGTGTCTATAATATTTTTATGGGAGCTATACAGTGTTTTAGCAGAAACTATTTTTTATATAAATATCCCTGTTGTTGGTTATAACAACAACCTAATAACTCTTAAGCCCAGCTTACATGTAGCACACCTATAAGGCTTAAACGTCACACTAACTTACTTAACTCAATCTTCTAATGTGCTCTGGTCAGAGCTGTCATTATTACACAATGACAATGACCCTGCGAATCATGTGATTTCATCTCCTCATGCTACAGGCACATGTGGTTGCTTGTAATCTCATTGTTTGTGTTTTTACAGTTGCTGATTTTGTCAAAATTTTAGGTATAACATTGTGGTAATTTATATTTATAAGCCTGTATCAAAAACCTTTTTTGTGAATTAAGTAGTAATTAAAGGAAAAGGAGAAAAATCAAAAAAGGTTTCTGTTCAGTTACTAATTATGTTGTATTTCAATGTAGAAAGATTTTACAAAATAATTTTTTGTCAGTATTCATATAATCTAAGAAATGTATTTAAGCAATTTACAGCCATATTTATCAATTATTATGCTGTGATTAAAATGGTAATAAACACTACTAAGGATTCTGTGTGGTCTAGTATGAGAGGAAGTCCACACAGCGGGGGTGGGGGGACACACCAACTGCAGTGATGTCACTGAAGTGATCTGTGCTCATCAATACAAAATTAGGTTGTTATTGCTGTGTGCCATCAAATTGATTCCAATTCATAGCAACCCTTTAGAACAGAGCAGAACTGCCCCCATAGGGTTTCCACGGCTGTAATCTTTATGGAAGCAGATTGCCTCATCTTTCTCCTGGGGAGTGGCTAGTGTGTCTGAATTATCGTTAGTAGCTGAGCACTTAACCATCACCCCATCAGCATCCTGTACATATATTATGAAAAAGCCTGTTGCCCACCACCACCATCTGGAGTTATCCTGGGTTGATATTTTGAACAGGAAAGAAATTGTGCTTTCAGATTTTTCTTTCTTCCTGGGAAGTTCTGAAAGTGTGTTGTGTTCCTGATTTTTAAAATTCTAGAAATGTTTCCTTTTGAAATACTTCTGAAAAACGTTTAAGTGTACTTTAGTTAGGTGTCTCAAATCTTTTTCTTTCTGAACTCTCCTGACCTCAAGTCTGATCAGTCTAGATACTACCATGTTTTAGGTTTAGAGATGAGCTCATTCCCCTACTTGCTCTCCTTCCAGTCTTCCAGTCTCATTGAACTTGGAATTTATTTTTATATGGCACTCACACATTCCTCATTTTGATTGACTGGGCTAATTTTAATTGTTCCAGTTAATTTATGGTTTGGCTGGACATTGTATAAGTGAAATGGCACACTGCTTCTAGTTAGGAATATGCTCAACAATTAGGGTTGGTTCTGGCTGGAAGGCAAACTAGGTCTTTAATATGTTAGCTACTTAGCATCATGACAATTTGATCAGCAATTAAGATTATTGCCTAAATTCTACCATCATTTTGCTGCTGAGGTTATTGGCTTTCAGTTTAGATTAACATTATTAATCATAACTATAAAAATTATAAGCATTTAGCAATTAAAGCTAGTCTTTGTTTCAAAAACAGAGTTTTATCCATAGTAATTTGTTCAATAAATACTGAGTGCTCAACAGAGGCAGACAGTTTTAGACACTTGGGATTCAGCAGTAAACAAACCAGACAAAAATTTCTGCCTTCAGGGGAGGGGAAGAAAAACAAAACAAAAAATTTCTACCCTCATGGAACCTGTATTCCAGTACAGGAGAACAAACAGTATACAAATAAATAAAATGATTAATAAGTCAAATTATGGTAAGTGCTACAGCCAAAACTAAAGCAGAGGTGGGTTCTGCTATCTTATCAGTTAAAAGTTGAGTGATACCTGAAGGATGTAAGGGAGTGAACTATGCATGTATCTGGGAGAAGAACACACGAGGCAGAGGGAACACCACGTAGAGAGAGTGTGAGGCAGGTGCATACTTGGTGTTTTTGATGAGGAGCATGGAGACTGGGAGACAATGGTCGCCGATGAGGTAGGAGAGAGAACGTAAAAGCCCGCTGATTTTAAGGACTTTGGTCTTTACCCTGAATGAGCACCATGACACTGGATGGCTCTGAGCAGATGAATGACATGATTTGACTTGTTTTAAAAATAAGAACTGTGGTTACTTTATGAACAAGAAACTGTAGAGGCACAAGGATGTAAGGAGGGTTTTTAAAGGCTATAGCATCAATCCAGGCAAGATATGATAGTGGCTTGGAATAGGGTGTTTGTAACAGCAGAGGTCAAAAGAGGTAGTCAGCTTTGGAACTATTTTGAAGGTAGAGCCAACTGGATTTGCTGATGGACTGGCTATGAGATATAAAAGAAAGAGAAGAATCAAGGATGACCCTAAGGTTCTTGGCGTAAGCAACTAGAAGCATGGCACGGCCATTTACTGAGTTGGGGGAGACTGAAGGAGAAGCAAGCTCAGAAGGAAAGATCAGGAACTGAGTTTTGAATACACAGAGTTTGAGCTTTATTAGATTTCTAGGTAGATGTCAAATAAGCACACATGCAAGAGCCAAATCTGGAGTTTGGGAGACAGGTCTTGGCTAGGGGTAAAATTTGGGGTTGACAGCATATCAATGACATTTAAATCATGAAACTGGGTATAATTACAGAGAATGACAACAAAGATAACAACAAAGAGAATGATAACAAAGAGGAGAGGTCGAAGGAAACATCTTCCCCTTAAAAATGTAGGTGGTAAACTGAAAATCATAAGCAGTTTAGAAGTCTGGATTTAAAGAGTCCAAAACGTACAGAACTTCCTCTAGCTTCCAAGCTCGCTTTAACTGCCTTCTGCACAACTTAGCCTTTTAAGGAAGTTTTGATTCATAAATGTTATCTAAGAAACTCCAAGAAGCCTCAGATAACCCCTTAGGGGTCACCTTAGCCATGGGCCTCAAAAATAATAAGGAATGTATTTTTCCAATGACATAGCCATTACACATTTTACCTTCAATTTGCTTGAAAGCAAATATAACTCATTTAACTAAGAATACATTAATACATTATAAAAGAAGTATAAAAAAGTATATTTAGAAAACCTTTTGGTGTTAGCGGTCACCTCAGTGTGTCCTGAAGAGTCTCAAGACAGAATTCACAATCCCCCATGGCACCAGGTCATATGTTTCAAAAGAAGAAACCATAAAGCCCTTTTTTCCTTTTCTGAAATATTCCCATTTTGTATTCTACCTGCCCAAAGTTTTATACTTCTCCCTGAAAAAGAAGTTTTGGGACTATCATCCCTCCAAAACAAAACAAACAAACAAATGCTATGTATCACTCTATTAAAATCTCAACCAGACAAATATAGAATGCTGTCTCCTAAATAGATAATACTAAAATGACTACAAACATTTAAAAGGATTTATATCACCATTTAAATCTTACAAGTTATACTTGAAAAAATTCATATGGAAAAGAGTCACCCAATGGCTCATTTTGCATGGTGCTGAGACCTGAATACTGACTACTTTGAACAAAGCTATGACTGCTTGTATTAGTACTGTTTGGTGGTCCTGACTCACTTATCATGCTGTTGTCTGCACAACTGAAGTTTGATCCCTCAAATGCATCTGATTGCGAAACGAAAGCAGTAGTACTGGAACTGGTACCTGCCGACATACTGGAAGAGGACATCTGATGGAAGTCTCTTGGGTCCAAAACTGAATTACAGGAGGGGCTGTCGAGACTCATGCTCACAAGTCTTGGATTATCAGTCTCCCTTATGCTCTCATGACAGGATGTTATATCCACAGGGCAATTAGATAGCATGCTGGCATCAGAGATACCATATAAGTCAGCTGGTGACATGGATGATTCCATCCTGCCTATGTCATTAGCACTGTTATAAATGCAAGCATTAGAAGCATTTAAATCATTTGCAACAGGAATTCCCAGAAATGGTGGGATACCCTGTGAATTAGAGGAAAGCGTTCCTGTTGAAAAACTATTTGGTGGATTTGTATTGACCGAGTGTGAGTTGGGGTGAACCATTGATGATGACCAGCTTGACGAAGGTGGATTCATGGAGGATATAGCTGAGCCATGATGCGGTAATGCCCTTGAGATGGACACAGAGGGGGAATAGTAGGATTCTGGTTGACTTGAGGGCCTGGATGTTTCTGTTGCAACTGCACCATGAGAAAATATGTTTGGTTCTGTAGGAGAAAAAAAAATGTATTTTTACAAAACTAAAAGAAACAAAATTATAAAAACTATTCTTTCTAAATTAAAATTGTATAAACATACTAATAAAATTAAGGTAACATTTCGAATAAAAATTTTGAAAAGCATTAAACTGCATGAGCCCAAAACTAAAATCTGTAATAATTAACTGTTTTAAAAATACATGTAAAATAATTTTGGTAAATATTTTGGCTTATATAATTTCACTCCAGTTAAAAATGAAAATTTGCTTCTGAGGCCCTTTAAAAATATTTTTGAAAGGTGGAAGATAAATATCAGAATTCCCGTTAATGGGAATTCAAGTAGCCAAAATAATTCCATACTCTCCATTTTTAGGAGAAAATGGAGAGATGGTGGAAACACTCATTAGGGATTGATTTATAAATCCACATAACTTTTAAGATATAACCCTACAGTACTGGGAGCTCTGGTAGCATAGTCGCTAAGGCACTTGACTGCTAACCAGAAGGCTGGTGGTTCAAACTCACCAGCCACTCCTTGGAAGGAAGATGGGGCAATCTACTTCCA